ACTGCCCACTTGCTCCTCAACCATTTGTAGTTTAGTTTTTAGACCACACCATTTGACTGAAACTGCGATCTTTCATCTCTCCTGCTCCTCTCCTCTTCTCTCTGTCTCTGTCTGTCTCTCTCCCTCCTCCTCCTCCTTTTCTCTTTATCTCTTTTTTTCTCCTTTTCCTTATCTCTCGAGGATCTCAACTGCTAAATTCAATGCTCCCCCTACCCCCATCAGCTCCCTTCATCCTTTTTTACCTCCTTGCCACTTTTGACAGTCATTCACCCCTTCCTGATTCCTGTTCTCCTTTGGCTTAAGTAATATTATTCTATCTTGACTCTCCTATCTAACCACAAAATTATCAATCGATAAACATTTATTAAGTGCCTGCTATGTGCACTATGCTAAGCCCTCAGGATACAAAAAAAGGCAAAAGACAATCCCTGCCCTAGGAGCTTACAATCTAACAGGGCACAACAAGAAACAACATGCTCTTCCTTCTCCTTTGAAGGCCGATCTTCTGGCTCTGTCCCCATAAGGCTCTGTCCTGGGATTCCTATTCTCTCAACATTCTCCTTAAAAGCCCATCAGCTCCCAAAGGGAAAGGACAATGGTTTCATCTCTGCAGGTAGGGAATGTCTACATGAAGCAACTTAGTCCACGCATTTAGGGTGGCACCTTCTCCACAACTAATAGAGTTGCCAAGAGGCACTCAGAGGTTAAGTGACTGGCCTACGGTCCCACAGTCAATATCTATCGGAGGTAGAATTTGAACTTAGGTCTTCCTGACTTGAAGACAGGCTCTCTAGTCACTTATACCAATCAGCCTCTTCCCTGGGCTTCTGGAGAGTTCTGCTGAAATCTTTAGTCAGAGGAATCCCAAATTTATATACCCAGCCCTAAGCTGTCTTCTTAACTGCAGTCTGCCTGATACACATCTACACCTGCTGTCTCATCAGCATCTCATTTGTGACACATCCAAAATAGAACGATTGTATTTCCTAGAAGCCCCCATCTCCTCCCCTTTCCATCCTCCCAATCACCCAGGGGTGCCACCTTGGAGTCCTCCTTGACTCAACTCACTTCTTTATCCAATCAGTTGTAAAGTCTGGTCAGTCCTCTTTCCTCAACATCTCACCCCATCATTCCCATCACCACTAGACAGTTCAGGCCCTTAGCATTTCTCATTGGGAAGATTACAACCACCTCATGGGTCACCTGCCTTTCTATCTCCACCCTTTCCATCCTCCAAAATGGCAGCTAAGTTAATATTCCCATCACAGATTTGACCATACCACCAACATCCTCCAATCAAAAATCATCAGTGGCTTCCCATTATCTCCAGGATAAAATACAAAACCTTCATCCTGGCATTCACCAACGTGGCCTCGATGTCTTTTGGACATCATCTCATATTACTCTTGTTCACACACTTACCGTCAGGTCAAACTGAGACTTGTGCTGTTGACTGAACTCAACATTCCCTCTCCAATGTTCATGCCTATGCAGGCCCAGGAGGCTGTATCTCCTCACTTCCTCCCCCCCCACCCCATTCACCTTGGCCTCTTTTTTTTTTTTTTTTTTGGTGAGGCAATCAGGGTTAAGTGACTTGCCCAGAATCACACAGCTGTCAAGCGTCTGTGTCTTGATTTCTTATAAAGTCACTAGCTTCCAATTGCTCTATTCTAATGTTTAAGGAAGTATTTTCTTCAGTAACCTTTTGTAATTCCTTTTCCATTTGTCCAGTTTTGCTTTTTGGGGCATTCTTCTCATTGGCTTTTTGGACCTCTTTTGCCATTTGGGTTAGGCTATTTTTTAAGGTGTTATTTTCTTCAGTATTTTTTTGGGGTCTCCTTTAGCAAGCTGTTGATTTGTTTTTTATGATTTTCTTGCGCCACTCTCATTTCTCTTCCCAGTTTTTCCTCTACTTTTCTTACTTGCTTCTCAGAATCCTTTTTGAGCTCTTCCAAGGCCTGGGACTGATTTATATTTTTCTAGGAGGCTTTGGATGTAGGAGCTTTGACTTTGTTGTCTTCTTCTCCGCCAAGTGTCAAGCATCTGAGGCCATATTTGAACTCAGGTCCTCCTGACTCCAAGGCCAGAACTCCATCCGCTGTACCACCTAGCTGCCCCCCCAACTTGGCCTCTTTGCAGGATCAGCTCAGGGGCCTGTTTTTGACAGCAGACCTTTGCTGAGCCTCGGTCCCCTCCCCTCAGTGCTGTTCAGGAATCTATGTTGTCTTTAATCTTTCACTATTTTGTTACAAATTATCCTCCTAACCCCAAGGATGGTGTAAACTCTTTAAGGGGAAAGACTTTTAAAATTTGTATCATCAAGTGGCTTGAACTTGGCAGCATAGTAGGCATTTAATAGTTGTTTATCTCACTAGATTGTGAGCTCCCTGAGGGCAGGGGGCTTTCTTTTTCCTCTTTTTGTATCTCCTCTAGCTTAGAGTGGCTGGCATAGGGAAGGTGTTAAATGAATGGTGATTGATTGACTAGATTGAATTGCTTTACACTACCCCCAAGCAATGCCTAGATAGCTCTGTAGTTGGAAGACAACCAGTTTGGAAATTCAGAGACCTGGCTTTGCTATTTACTAAATTCATCCATTAACAGACATTTACCAAGCACCTGCTGTGTGCAGGCAGCAAGGTGCTAGCACCTTCCACTGCAAAGATAACTAGGATGCTGGGCTGTGCCCTCCAGGCTCTTACACTAATGGGGGAGCAGGAAGTGGAGCTTGAGGCCATGGAGTCGTAGGGTGGCAGATCCAAAAGTGTGAGGAGGATCTCAGAAGCCACCTAGCCAAACTTTTCATTTTAAAGAAGACGCTGAAGCCGGGAGAGGTGGTGACTTGCTCCAGGTCACAGCAGCGTTAAACATGAGGCAGGATTGGAATCAGGGCTCTTTCCATCTGTGTCTCCCATGTCAGAAGGAGGAGTGAGACAAAGACCAGAAAATATCCAGACGAAGAAAGAGCTGTTGGTGTGATGGACACTGTGTAAATCCTTTCTGGGCCTCAGTTTTCCTATCCATAAATCCTATCTGTATCCCAGCTCTGTCCATGATACTATGATTTACATAGTAGAATTAGCTAAGCTTCCCCCACCAGCTGAGGCTTCTCTAGTGTATATTAAGCGGAGCCCCGCTATAGCCAGACAAGAATGAAAAGACAGCAGGCAGGGGGCTCAACCTAATTTTTAATTCTCCTTAGCGTAGAGATAGGTAGGGTAGGTAGTGTGGAGCAGTGCTTACAGCTCAAGGTTTGCCCTGAGAACCTTGAGTAAGTCAGCTTCTGCTTATTATAAATTACTATAAAGTCCCCCTAAGCGGTCCCATTATTCAAATTTGACTTCATGTTTCCAAAGGAAACATTTACCATAATTATCACATTTAGTGTAAATTTGAAAACAGGTGACTTCTTCAAAGGGGTTCATTGTTCACACTAATTGGGGCCTGGCTGTAGGGCCTGTAGAATCCTCCCAATTCTACGACTGTTAGGTGTTTCATCTTTCATTTCCTCTCATCAGGCCAAAAGGGAGTCCTGAGCTACCCTTTGGGAGAGGCAGAAAACAGGCTGAGCGCCAGCACTGGGCTGGAATGGGTCTCCAATGCTTCCAGTCATGGATCAGAAAGCAGAGTGAAAGGCTCTGACTGATATCAACAGTCATCCTTCTCCTCCCTTCCTCCTCTGATCCCACCCTCCACTAGCGGAAAACTGCATTTGAGGTGGAGAGCAGGCTTGGAATCCGGCCATCACTTGGTTCTTCCCTACAAAACGGAGTTAATGCTGGATTTGCTTGGTTAACCGACCGAAACTGAGAAGCACACGTGGCCCCAGGTCCTTGAGGGCAGGGTCTTTCCAGTAGCCTTTTGATGAACTCGTGAATTTATTCCCTGATTCTTTCCCCCCTCTCTATCCCGTTCCTTGCCAGCCTTCCTTTTCTTGTTTCTCCCTTTTTGCCTCTTTCCAGAAGCCTCAGGCCCAGCTTCTTCCCATCTCTTCTTCCTTCCTTCCTTCCCTTTCCCTCTCCATCTGCCGCGCTGCCTCTGCTTTTCCTCTTCCTGCTCCTTCCTTTCTCCCTGTCTCCTTCCCTCCTTCCCACTCTCAGTCTCTTCATCTCCCTCCTTCCTCTCGGTCTGTCTTCCCTTTCCCTCCTCCCTCTCTGCCTCTTTCTCTTTCTTTTCCCCTTGGTTTCCATCTTTCCCCATTTCTCCTCCTTTTGCCTCTCTCCTCACGTCTCCCTCTCCTTGTCTCCCGCTTTGCGTCCCTCTTGCTCCTTTCTTTTTCTCTTTCCTTCTCTCTCCCTCTAACTTCCTCCCTCTTTCTTTTTCTTATTATCTCAAATTCTTTCTTTCTGTATCTTTTTTTCTCCTGGTCTCCAGGAGGCTCTTCGCTCACTCCTTCCTCTTCCCGCCTCCCTCAGAGCGGACTGTGAGTTTGCTGGCGCACGCGCACATCGGCAGACGCTCCCGGACTCTCTCCTCACCAGGTCACAGCACGCCGCGGTCGTTCCGCGCAGGCGTATAGTCCGGGCGTCCCAGAGCCTCCCTTTCCCTCTCCTTTCCCAAAGCAAGCGTGAGTCTTTTGGCGCAGGCGCAGGGGCATATTGTCGTAACATCCCTGGGGGCGGGGTAGAGGACGGTGGATCCCCCTTCCTCTTCTGGCCCAGAGCACACCTGGGTAGTTCCGCGCACGCGTACATCCCCGGGAGCCTCGGGCTCCTCCTTTGGCTCTCCCAGTGAGCCGAGCGGAGGCGCGCACGTAGGCGCGCGCACGCAAACTCACGTACCACGCAGCCGTGGACGTCCGCGCGCCGGCGCAGCGGCGCTGACGCGAGGACGCCGCTGCAGCGGCGGATGACGCTCGGATGACGCGGATGACGCGCGTCCCGGCCCGGCCCGGCCCGCTCCCGCCGCTCCTCCTCCTCAGCCGCCGCCGCCGCCGCCGCCTCCTTGTCGCCGCTCCTGGGTCCGGCCGCGGCGGGCAGGCGGGCAGGAGGACAGGCGGGCGGGCGGGCCGGCTTGCCTCAGGAGTCGGGGGTCGGGGCAGCGGGCCCGGGCTCCGGCCTGGCCGCCGAGCCTCCTCCTCAGCCCCGTGCGGCCTCGGCTACCCTCGGGGGCTCCTCCTGGGCGCCGGCGCCGGCTCGGGCCCTGAGCCAAGGTGAGTGACGGGCGGCGACGGGGAGGGAGCCCCGGGACCCCGGCAGGAAGGGAGCTCCTCGTCGTGGCCGGGATGCAAGCTCGGACCGAGGAGTGGGGACCTGGCCCCGAGTGGGGTTCTCCCCCCGGGAGGGCTTCCCTGGGCGCCGGAGAGCCTGGGCTGTAGCACAGACCTCTCGCGTTCTTCAGAGGGGGAAACTGAGTCCCAGGGCTGACTGGAGACTTTGCATCCCTTGCTGGAAAAGGCTTTTGTGAAAGCTCCGGGGGCCCACCCGCTACTGGGATAGCTGGGGAAACTGAGGCTCCCAGCCCCTGGGGCGGGCGGTCAGCCGGAGGCAGCCCGCAAGTCCATCTCTGCCTGCAGGAAGCCCCGGGCCGGCCCAGGATTCGCCAACACTCTCGAGAGTGCCTTGGCAAACCACGCAGGGAAACTGAGGCACGGAGGGGTCGAGCCGCTTGTCCCGGCCCCAGCATTAGGGAGCCGAGCGGGGATCGGGCCCCGCGATCCCTCCCCTTTGGAGTGCTGCTATCGGCTGCTGCCGGGTCGGACTTTTCTTGAGCAGTCAGCATTTATTAAGTGCCTGCAGTGTTCCCGGAGACCTGTGCTACGCTGCTTTGACATCGCCGAAGTCTCTGATTTTAAATCTGACACTCGGTAGCTGCCTGATGATGGGCAACGCTAATGAAGGGCCCCCTCGGGAGGGCTTGGGAGCAATCCCGAGTAATTCAACATGATCCTTTTCTGTTCCTTCTGGCCGGTTCCCACTCTTCCTAATGCCTCAGCCAGGAATAAGGACCTGTCATCATTGAGCTGGGAGTAGGGATATTTTTTCTTTTACCTGTCTTCCGTTTCCTGGTACCGATGGAGCAGCTAGAAGTTCATTTTTCTGTGTGGTGCCTGGAACGTAGTAGGCGCTTAATGTTTATTGAGTGACTGATAAGCGTGGCCCCCTCACCACATCATGTTTATACAACTGAAGCCTTGCCTCCAGGCCATTAATACTCTTTTAGGCTATTGTGTGAAATGGAGGTGGGGGGGGAAACCAAGCACTTAACTTTGAACTTACTGTTTTGAACTTTGGAGATTTCTCTTGGACTAAAGCTATCTTCAGGGACTGGGATGGTCTAAAACAGGAGTCTGGGAACTTTAAAAATGTATATTTTGATCATTGTATTTCAGCATAATTGGTTTCCTCTATATTTTGTTTAACGCATTTAAAAACCTTGTTCCGAGAAGGGCTTCACAGTGTTCATGGAATCTATGGCACAGGAGAGGTCAAGGAGCCCTGGGCTAAAGGAGCCAAGATTTCCCTGCTTTCCACAAACCACCCTCACACCTTGCTTAAAAGTCATATTTTCTTATCCCTTAATCTATTTGAGAGGTATTCTCATGGAATTTTGCCATTCGTTTTTGTTCTGTCCAGGTTTTCTCTGGCCATGTTGATAGATTATTTCTACACTAGCAGGTGTTGCAGCTCATTCCCATGAGTAAGGCTGAGTGGCTCCTGGAGCCTAGTGCCTTCCCAGCTATTAAATGATTTAGCTTCCTTTTGTTGTACTCACCAAGTCCAGTGTGAGAACTTGGGGCTCTCCCTGTCCTCTACAGGAGTTGCCCGTACATATTCCTGTATTAGCCTTGATTAGCATTTGTCCATTCTATTGATTAATTGTTCCCATTGGCTTCTTGAAAGATGATGGGGTGCCAGGTATATTTTGTGGCTTGTATTTTTTTTTAAACCAGGAACTAGGAAAATGAGTTTATAAAAGAGCATTTTATTAAAAAGCAGCAATGAAGAAAAAATACTGCTTTTTAAGAAGTCACCAGGTTTCCTTTTAAAATGTTTTTTAAATTATTTTTTGTAATGAAAGGTGATGACCAAGCTTTAGCACATGCCAGAGTCTTTCCTGTGTTCATTCAGTTAGAGCTCTTGGCCTTTAGATGTCTGATACGTGTTCTGATTTTCCCAGTTCACGTTATGCTTGGGTAGCACTTAGAGACAGCATCACCCTTAAGAAGGCCAGAAAGAAAATATGCTTTTTCATTGTAATTTGTGGTGATATATCGAGTTTGTGCATTGTTCTGAATTGCTTCTGGACCCTTAAGATTGCATTTAGTGATTATGACCTGAATTTTTATTTCAAGATGATGTGCGAGGTGATGCCAACCATCAGTGAGGCTGAAATTCCCCCAGGAGGAGGTGGGAGCCATGGTTCTGGTTCCCCTTTACAGCCAGATGCTGATTCACATTTTGAACAGTTGATGGTCTCCATGTTGGAAGAAAGAGATCGTCTTCTAGACACGCTTAGAGAGACTCAAGAAACGCTTGCCTTGACGCAGGGAAAGTTGCATGAGGTTGGCCACGAAAGAGATTCCTTGCAGAGACAGCTCAATACTGCACTCCCACAGGTACGGGTGTTTTTAACCTAAATGTTTTTTGCTTGGTGTGACTTAGAAAATTTCAAATGAAATCTGCATTATTATTATCGATGAAACGGCCTATAGAGGACCACGTGTGGCGGTAATTTCTTGAGGCTGTTTTCTGCCACTCAGTGGAAGTGAAACCAAATGAGCCCCTAAATTTCTATCTGATAATTCCCAGATATGCCTCATCCCTGTATTCCTCCTTCCTCATTTGTAACAGGGCAGCTTTCTGTGTTCATTTGTCCTGCTGGGGAGAGGTAACTGCAGTACCTGCCTAAGGATCTCTCCTGATCTTCCCAGTGCCTAGCCTTCTCTGCACATATGAATTTGGGTAATAGCAGTATGACGGTCAGGCTTGGGCTTTGTGTTTTCAGCTGTTATTCAGTCACCAGTGCACAAAGTCCATCCTTCATTGTTTCTCTTTGGAAACTTGATGACCTGAGTAAAAATACATGTGGTCTCTCGGGAGGTGACATGTTCCCTGGAATAGCTCGTTCCCGAGTCAGCCCCTTTGCGCCCCTACTTCTTGATTTAAAGGGGAGCCCTTCAAAAATGACTAACAGAGAGAAGGTAAGGGCACTAAGAGTTGGCACCATTGTTGAATATTTTCCTTTAGCTGCAGGTGGAAAGGGGGATCTGTGACTTAAAGCTGTTCAGAGCTAGAGTAGTTCGCATGCTAGATTCTGAACGTGAATGAAAGCTTAAAATAGGAAGGACCGAAAGCTTTACGTCTAGTCTCAGAAGTGATGTTCCTGTGAAGATGGTAATTGTAGAATGGCTTAGAAAAATCCCTAATTAATGTAAACTAAAAAGGAGGGTGGGTGGGGAGTAAATGTCCAGGTGCTTTGGTGAGGTGGATAGAGTCAGGAAGACTTGAGTTCAAATCCAGCCTCAGATAGTCATTAACTGTGTGACCCTGGCCAGTCTTCAAGGCCTGTGCCTTCACCTTAGTAACATCTCTGGAATCTGCCCCCTTCTCTCCTGATAATCCCCCTCCTCCCCTCCCCCAGGCCCTCATCACTTGGATTGTTGCAGTAGCTGGGTCTGCCTGCACCAGATCTCTCCGCACTTAAGTGCATCCTTCACTCAGCCACCAAAGGGATTTTCCTAAAATGCAGGTCCAACTGCGTCACTCCCCTACTCCATCAACTCCAGTGGCTCCCTATCACCTGCAGGTTCAAATACAAAGTGTTCTGTTTGCCATCCAGAGCCCTTCCTGGCCTCCCCCTCTCCAGACTTTCTAGTCTCCTTACACTCTGCTCCATGTACTCTTTGATCCAGTGATGCTGGCCTCCTGGCTGTTCCACACACAAGACCCTCTAACTTTCAGCTCTGGGGTCTGGCTCTCTCCCTGGAATTCTCTTCCTTAGTTCCACCTTCTGACCTTCCTGGCTTCCGTTAAGTCCTAAGTAAAATCACACCTATTACTGGAAGCCTTCTCCAACCCCTCTTAATTCTAGTGTATTCCTGTCCTTATTCGAGTGTGTGCTTCTTGAGGGCAGGGACTGTCTTTGGCCTCTTTATTCCTAACACTTAGCACAGTGCCTGGTGCACATATTAGGCGCTTTTGCTTATTGAATGAATGAATGAACTTAGCCTCAATATGCCTTAGTTTCCTCAACTGTAAAGTGAGGATAACCCTCCCCAGGATTGTTTTGAAGATCAAATGAGATAATATCTATAAAGTGTGTAGCCCAGTGCCTGGCATGTAGTAAGTGCTATATAAATGGTGGTGGTAGTAGTAGTAGTAGCAGCTTGGTTGTAGTAGTAGTAGTAGTAGTAGTAGTAGTAGTTGTAGTAGTAGTAGTAGTAGTAGTTGTAGTAGTAGTAGTAGTAGTAGTAGTAGTAGTAGTAGTAGTAGTAGTAGTAGTAGTAGTAGTAGTAGTAGTAGTAGTAGTATGTGCTCAAAGAATGAGTGTGCCGGGAGGATGGGTCACAGTCCGTGGTGCTGACGGTGGAGATGAGAGCCTTCCTCAGGGAGGATGTGTTGGGCCTCAGGCAGTGCTTACTCTGCCTTAGCTTCACTTCTGGCAGCCGGCTTGGATTCGATTGTGGATTTTCTTTTCCTTGTGAGAAGGTATCTCTAGTTTCCTCATGAAAGGTAATCTGAGAAAGAGTATTTACTTGACAGAAATTTGCCTTTGGTGTAATCACCTCAGCTGGGACGTCCCTCCTCTCTTTCTGGGGATGGAAGACTGTAGGCAGGGCACGCCGGAGGGAAATTGGGCTTGGAGGCTGGAATCGTAAAACTTTAAGCTACCGTTTTTCCTTTTGTGCTTGATCTGTTATGTTTAGGCCGATGTTTCAAGGCCTTCAGTGGCAATATTGAATAATAACGTGACGAGCAAGGGGGGCAGGAAATGCTCCATCTGTACCTCAGTGCACAAATGGATTCCAGCCCAGTCCATGTGTCAGGCTGCAGGAACACGGGCCCATCACGTCACCTCATGAGCTGTAGTTTTGTTATCTGTAAAATAATGGGGTTTGCCATAGAACAGATTTAAAGGTCTCTTTGCCGTTCTGTTCTTTGCCTCCGAGACGGACATGTGGTGTGACGGGAACAACCTAGGGGGTTCTCCTTGGGATGGGCCATTTTGCTTTGGATGTGTCCAGGTAAACGTTCTTTTATGCAGTTTGGGCAGTGATTAACCAGTGAATTATTGCCATCCTTAATGCATTTAGTCACTTCTAATAAACCAAACGTTGGATTTTCCTTTTTAGCAACAGTAGTTTTTTGTTAGTGCTGTATCCTTTATTTAGGATGGATAATAAGCATATTTAAAAATGAGATTTTATGTTTTCTGTTAGAATCTCATTCATATAAAGCTTGAGCCTATGTAGTCACTCCCATTTCATTACACTGCCTTGGCAAAGTCTTTGGTTGTGCTCAGTTGTACTTGCTGTTGCTCAAGATGAATGGTTTGCCACAGAGCTTGGTTGGTGTAGTGCCGCACTGCAGACTGTCTTAGTGGAGAGATTGCTGGTTTTGGAATTAGGAGTACTTGGGTTCCAGGGCTGCCTCTGGCGTTAGCTTTGTGACCCTGGACAGAGCATTTCACTTGGAGCTGATAGAAATCAGTCACTTCTCTGTTGGATTTGGGCTTTTTGGAAAAATGGGAGTGAACAGGTTCTTAGTGGGCAAGGGAGTCATCTTTTTACGTACCTTAAATAACATACTACATGTTACTGGTTCAGGATTGCATCAGTGGAGGTGCCAGTGAAATTATGAATCCAGTACAGGTGTGGAAAGATACCGTATGGCTGAGTGCCACAGTATCAGAACATTGGTTGTTAGTGTCATCAGGAGCAGCTGGTGGTGTAATGGGTACAGCGCTTGACTTGGAGTCAGGAAGGGTTGAGTGTGAATTCTGCCCTTTGTACTTTTTGGCTGGATGACTCTAGAGCAGTCATGTAGTGATTTCTGAGCCTTAGTTTCCTCTCTTGTAAAATGGAGATAGTGATAGCACCAACCTCACAGGACTTTCGTGTTGATTAAATGAGATGACATTTGTAAAGTGCTGTAGGGATGCATGCTGTCATCCTCACCATCCTCACCATCCTTGTTTAACAAGGTGGTGAGTGAACCAGGGAATGTCTTGGGAGGACCCAGGAAGTGATGAGTTTTTAGGTGTGGCATTTGACACCTAGCACCATGCCTGGCACACGGGAGGTGGCTAATAAATATTTATTGATTAATGGACCCTCTTTTTCATTCTGAACCACACATCCCTGTCCATCTCCCCCATTCTTTCCACTTTTTTCTCTTTTATTTATTTTTAGTTTTCAACATTCACTTTCACAAGATTTTGAGTTCCTAATTTTCTCCCCATCTCTCTCCTCCCCCCACCCCAAGATGGATCTGCCCTCTCTTCTATCACCTTCCCCCTTCTCTTTATTTTCCTGTAGGGCAGGATAGATTTCTGTACCCCACTGCCTGTATATCTTATTTCCCACCTGCATGGAAAAGCAGTTTTTAACATTTGTCTTTTAAACTTTGGGTTCCCATTCTTTCCACTTTTGTGCCAGACTCACAGGAAGAAGTACCTTTCTGCCAGGGCCAACAGTATTTTTGCCCTTGAGTGAGATGGCAGTCAACTCCTTTTTCCTTCTGGAGCCTGCCCTTTTCTGTTGCTTCTTTTTTCTTTTTCATTCTCTCCCTCCTTTGCCTAAGAACATTCTACCTCCTTTCTTTAAGAAACCTTCACTTGTCCCTCTGTTTCCTCCTGCTTTTAAAGGCTTAGCTGATATTTTTTCCCTCCATTTCAAAGCCAACTCTTAGAAAAGAATTATTTACCTGACTTTTCCTTACCCCCATTGACTTCTGGACTTCACCACTCAATCAGACTGTCCCTTTCTGGCTTACTATTGATCTTGTCATTATTAAATTGGGTGGTATTTTCTTCATTTGATCTCTCTGTGGTTTGTGACACTGTCAACCACTTTTTCCTCCTAGATGTTTTTGTTCTCTTCCCCTTCCTGGATACTCCTGCTTCTCCTATCAATATTACTGCTCTGTCTTTTGTCCCTTTTGTTGGGTCATTGCCGCTAATGTCCCATGAGTCTTGGGTAGTTTCTTTTCTCTTCTTTTCCTCCACTAGGTTTTTTTTCCCCCTTTGCTCTTTCTTAAATCATTCAGCAAGTGTTTATCATGTGCCTTAAATGTGTTAGGCACCGTGTCCAGTATGAGGGATACTTGGAGAAAAGTGAGACAATCCCTGTCAGCTCTCAAAGAGCAGTCTTTTAAAACATTTTAAAAGGCTTTTTTCTTTTGCTGTTTTTTTTATATCACTTTAATTTCTGAATATATTTTTCTTTATCTCTTCTCCATTGAGCTATTTATTCCTTGTAACAGTTGTGATGGGTTAAATCTGAAATGACTGAGGAGACAAAGGTTCAAGCTTCCGAGCCTATCCATTTATTAAGCAATGCATGCCAATTGCATAACAGATTGGGACCAGGCATCCTCAGCTTGGCATTGTACCCTG